ATAATATTAGTGATCGAATAGAGTTATTTTCATAAATATGTAGTAAACGTTTAAACGAGCCGTTTTAAGCACCATTATAAATATGATTTAACTTACTCAGATGACAACTTTACTGCGAATGACATGAACGAGATGCTAGGATCTGTTTGAAAAAATCTTAGTATAAAATAATATAAGTAAAAAGTACAGTAAAAAAAAAAATCAAAGACAGAATACGCGATTGTGTGTATATAATAATAATTATTGTTAAATGCCCGTGTATTATACATAAATATATGCAAAATATAATTTATACACGAGACATAATGTCCACATTACTGCACGCGCGTGCAAATATAGCGAGTGGCGACGCGGCGGGTTGGTATATTATAATATGTAGGTACCTATACATATATACACCTCCTTTATTTTTATAACGTACGATATTATATATTATTATAATATGCGAAACGAAAACGGATGTGCGCGCAATAATTTTATATAATTTATAAATATTATTTTCCATTCCTCCTCTCCACGGGTTCTTGCGCTATAGGTACACACATGCACATTGTATAAGTCATTTGGCGAGAGAGACACGCACGCGAGCTCGCGGTACAAATATATAACAATATGAGATATATTCCGCGCGACAATAGTGACACACTCGTGAGTTACGCGTCGTATAGTCGTTAACATTATGTAGGTACAGYGGAGAATTATTATTTTAGCCAGCGCTTATTAAATATTTATATATAAAAATCATATGCGAAGCATATATAGAGTGTGACTGTTATTATATAATAATATAACACTGGCTTTTCGATGAGTCAAGTCTTTGGCTTTGGAAAAACTGCAATTATAAGATATGATATAAAACATAAATCTCCTTAACTCCATCCTCTACACGTAAATGGTAAACTTCAATTATTTTAATCAACGTACATAATATATTATGTATTTATGCGCGATCGGTGAAAWTATTATTTTTAAGTAGGTATATTTACGACAAGTACGCGCCAGGAAAAGATAACGAACATATCAATTTAAAACTTAGGATTCGAAAATAACCAATAACCATGTCATATAATAGGTACCTATATAAGTACATAAGCGCYGACGACAATAATATTAATGCGCGTCGCCTGCTGTTGACCGCAATAAGGGTAATTGTGGTACGGGTATTTGAGCGGTATACCTACATTGGTATATGGTATGTATATACCACGCAAGTGAGACAGTGACAATAATAAAAAAATAAAAATAATATCAGTGATATCACTATCGTAGTCGAGTTCCGTAACCGAATTTCTGTCGACGGGATGACGTCACTGCTGCAGTGATATGAAAACACACAGCGCAATACCAGCTYGCACGTGAATTACAAATACAATCACACGAGGGGGCGAGGGTCACTCGCGAATCGATTTTTTATCCGATCGGTCACGTTTCCAATGTAGGTATAARCGTGTGACCTGCGATTGTCTCGAGTTGTCCATTTTAAACGGTTCTTGATTGATTGATTCGAGTGTACGCAATAACAATATAATAAAACATGTAAACTCGTGTCCGACATTTTGTCATATTATTTAGGTTTGACCGCTATATAATATAATAATAAGGTGGGTAGGTGAATTTAAATTCGATATCAGATGCTGAGACAAAAGTGGATTTCAGTAGTCAGAAGCGATTTTCCGCGTGGGCCAGATTTTATCCGAACGTATACGATAAGAGAGGGGCTCTTAGTTACCCAAATTAAAAATAACGTATAAGCTAGCAGGTGTCTTGTACAGGGTCGCAACTGTGTTATTATACATATACATGTTACCTAGCTACTTAATGTAGATATATATAACATATTATTTAATATTTTTTACCTATGGCACATGATTATTCACTTGATGATAACCTGTCGCTGTRTATGTAAGAATAATGTGTATAAAATATAAATCGAAATAATTAAAGAATCGAATGCGGGCCAGCCGAAATTATATTACACTTGCCCTCTGTAGGTATCTACATATATAATATAATATATTATGGCGGTTAAAAATTAGAATCCGTACCTATAGGTTATAGTCAGAAGCATTGAATGATCATAATATACGAAAAAAACATTATATTTGGTCATGCCGAAATTTGACYAGTAAACGCGGTATAGCACGCCGTTGAGTGCGTATAACTCACTGAATAAGTAGATAATTGATATAATATGATATTTCGTATACGGGAACCGTCGATCATCTCGTCACAGGTTATATAGGTTTTCATTTGCAATAGTGCATTTATGTATACAGTTTTTTTATAATACCATTTATTATCATTAATGGTGGTTTCGAGACAGAAGTTTTTAACAGTTCTTTTTCGTACACGTCGGAAATCGTGTGAATGTATATTAGTGGTAGAACCCATCCTCGGGCATGTGAATTTGTGTTATAGGTAAGTCATGAAAGACGCCAAACACCTACAATTATATATATATAGCATCTACTTATAGGTATATGTTATAACAAGACATGTTTCCGTATTTCCGTATGATTACACGGGTATCAATTTAAAATACCATATAAAATAGTAAGCAGATTATTGTAAAAATGTCAATGTACTGGAATTTTAATTCCAATGAAGAGTTTCAGATTCATATTATTTTATTTGAAAATACTCATATAAAGTAAACATAAAAATTACAAAAATCAGAATTTGAAAAAATACATAATTAAATCATAAAAATTGTGTGAACTCGATAAATAATCATTTTGTAATGTTTATGTAATATATTATAAAAGACTCAATAACATTCGAACGGATTTAAAATATATTTTCATAACTATGCAACAAATCCTTAAAGAGACGTGTCTCACGTCTACTATTATACCAGTTATATTGTATAAACATTTTMGTCAGGATTTTCATTTAYGCTTCAAAATTGCCTACACAGAGCCCCTTACAAAAAACCAGTGTCAAACATGGTCATTTTTTTTTTTATTGCAATCACATTTGATATGCCGTTGTAATGATACATATTGTATGTTACTCATCCTCCCGTATATAAACCACAACATTACAGTTTACAAGTAAAATTACATCCATCCACTGATGGCACTTTGTGGAACACGTGAGTGAAATTACCCTCCTGGAATTATTCAATTGGCCAAGCGATAATTTTGTCTCTATCAACAGTTCCAAAACATGATTAGAAGTGGCAAAGGGAAATTTAATGGTTTATGAATGTACTTTTTTTTTTTTTTTTTAATATCACTTTATTGTGAAATATTACGATCTATACATATAATGTACTTATAATATATTTCAATGTAATTTTGTTTCATCAATGCTAACTTTTTCAATATTTGCATTTCTATTTTTAATAGATCCCCTGCAACATCTATGTTTTCCAATTGCCACCTATGTACTCATCATAATAATATATGCATTATACATCGTGTATACGAGAGAGAGACTGTTTAAGGTTAGCACTCCCCAGATCCACCGACAATTATGATATACATGTGTAATTCGACCCTAAACCAAACCAATATAGTTGGACAACGGACATTATTGTATAACCAGATCAAACTTCACTCACCACGTGTATGGAGTCTGAGTCTGACCGGCGGAGGGCATCGTGCCTTTGGCCTACGGACACCGCGGCCACGGTCAGCTGATTGTAGTGGTGTGCAGCTGCGGCGGCCTGGGCGCTTTGGTGCAGGCTGTTGAGCGTCTGCGAGTACGGGTCGTTGATGTAGTCCATGGCGGACGGCGAAGACGCGTTGCCGGCGGACGGCTGATGGTGATGGTGTGCCGGAGGGAACGGCGGCGGGAAGTACGGTGGCTGGAAGTCCTGGTGGTGTCCCATGTTGGRACCGGCATTGGTGGGCGTCGTATTCCGGTGGTGGTGATGGTGGTGATGGTGGTGCGGGCTGAACGGTGATGAGCCTCCGCCACCTCCTCCACCACCGCCTCCACCGCCACTACCCCCGCCGCCACCACTGCCGATCGATGCGACTGTACCATGTCCGGCTAGCCGATCCTACGAAAAAAATTTCTAAATTAAATGATAAATCAACGCAATATAGTTAAAATAAACAAACGCGCACAGAATATTTAAATGATTATATATCGTGTTATGTAYATATAATGTYCTGTATCACCCCATATTATATTCATTATTATAAGTTAAGCACTTGGAAGCCTATACAAGTCTTRGCGGCCTTTTCGTATTCAACCGAGTAATATCTGACGGACTTATGGGGGTGATCCCGACCCCTCGCTACCTTTACCTCATTATATTACCTTTATTAGATTCGCGTATGATTCGGCGTTAATATTGRTATTGTGAATATAAAACATCATCATGATTCATAATACATATACATCGCAGCAATAACATAGATATGTACGCATGACTACAGTCATGAATCATGATCTATATTGGGGTAAGAGTAGGTATAAGTTCAAAAACTAAAAATTAGACAGCCATTAAAAATGAAAACGCCTTAATATTTTAAGTTAAAAAATGAAAAAATAATATAGAAGGAACCTAACGATGATGATTCTTAACAAAAAAAGATTCTAAAATGTTTTCTGAAAGTTTGGAATGTAATAGTCTTAACCTAATACCTATTACCTATAATTTTATTTATCGGCRCACTCTTTCTTCGCGCTGCAGCGTGCCCAATATATATATATACATATATAACTGCGCTGCTGAAGCTGCGGTGGACCCAGTGGACGGTTATCGTATGGGTATAGCTCATACAATAATAATATGATAATTAATAACACCTACATATACATGTTAGTATATTACCAAATTACCATAATATTATAATATTATATGCATTACRGTTCGAAATCTCAAATCGAAAATAAAATCAGAGCTGCCATAGAAAGTGGCACCGGTCAAGAAAAGATAAATAGGTAATAATCGATTCGTAAAAAATAATACACATTACACACGACCGACTCAACACTATATACCATACCTATACCTATAATAACATAATAACATTATATTGTATTATAATGAACGCGCGCGCGTACGCTCGATTATAATAGATATAATAATAACATTTAAATATWTATATTATTCCATGAAGATATAATGTACATAATATTATAATATGGTCGCGAATCGCAATAATATAATTAGTGGGTCGTTTGTGAGGAATGAAAAAACAAATAATATATTWAAAAAAAAAACATGTATAAGCTATATTTTCGGTCCGATCGCGCGCCGTTCGCGTACGCTATAACTAGATTTATACATAAAATAACGTCTTAAATTAACACGCACATGCATGGCATGTTTTTGATCCATTAAACACATATAGAATATAATATAGTGCATGTACGAGCGCATATTATCGATAAACTAGTTCTCGAAATTTAATCGAATTTGTACGTCGAGTTTATTATACGAGCGCGTGTGTATWATAAGTGTATACCCGACGACACGCGCTCTCTGATCTRGATTTCATGAATTTACGCGCAGGTTTGTGCGTCGATTTGCATAAGTGAAATTAGATACGCGTGTTATAATAATAATAATAAYATGCACATCGTATATATACAATATAGAATATAATATTATTATAATAGAAGAGCTAATACGCGCTTTTTGACCAATCATTTAGTTTGGTACACCGTCGTACTCTGCAGCCTCGGAGTGGCTATATTATACATATGTATGTACGAATTACCTATCGAYAATAATATAAAACTTTAAACGCAATAGTCATAATTTTATGTACCACATTAATATGAAAAWAAAAACTTATAGTTCCTCGCTGGATATTATTATTAGTAGAAAAGTCAGTGAATTTAGATATTTTATAGACAACCATACATATATGGTCTTATAAATATATAGATAWACATATCAAAAATAGCACCCGTTATTTATTCGGTGAGCGCGTATAAATTCATCGAATTTTTAGTATTTAACTGCAGCAGCACTTAATATACTYGTATTATATAATATAATGTAAAACATAAAACCCTAATTTAAATATAAATCGATCTACAATCATTACTATCAATATAAAATTTTAACCACAACAACTATAGATAAAAAAATATGGATCGAAATACTTGCAGTGACCGAAAATCGGATACAATCGCAGCGTCCAAAATCAAAAAATAATTGCTTCCAGCCGTTTYTTCAACAGAAATTTTGATTTTTATTAATTTAACGTTTGTTTCGCTCGGGGAAAGGGGATGGGTTCAGATCAGGAGACCATMTTCGTTATACATCACTTGCTTGATTCCATGTAGGTACATATAGAAGACATCGGAMAATTTGCGTCTCGGAAATATGGATTGACTACTGACTAGGTGTTCRTTTTCRACGTGGAATTTTATTTTATGTTTTATTTTTTTACTGGGATACTGCAACATAAGTCTAAGCATATAACGCTTAAGTCGATTGATATGGGGCTGAAATATCTACATATTATACTACAGTATTAAAATGGTCTTCACATAATCTGCTATGTTGATATATAGGCTCTTGGAATAATAACGTATAGTTGATTTGTTTTACTTTGCCATAGGTTAGAACCTCATAAATTATTTTGAAAATAGTGAGCAGGAAGAGTCGCACAGTAAACGTGTGTCAAAGGTATACATTGGTCGCTGGTGAAAGCGACGCATTTTTACCTATGCTGGCCAACCGACGTCCGTAGCAGCAGTCTCTATGATATATAGATAAGCTTACGGCCTACAACTATATGGTCGACGTATTATAATTAACATTCGATTAAAAAATTCCCACCTGCGTGTATTACAATATTATTAAATGAATATATTATAACGATTAATAATCGGGTTTCTAGGATAACGAAAACTACAAAAATATAAATCTTTAGCTATATGAAGGATTGAACTGATCGATATTTACGTAAATAATATGATATAGGAACACATTACATACATATATATATATATATATACATATTAGGAATACACCGCACAATGAAATATATAAACCAACCACTAAAAAACTCAAAATACTGTTATTAAGTATATAGAACTACTATAACTACTATTAAAATGACGACGAAGGTTCATACTTAAAGKTAAGAAATTGCTGAAAAATATAAATTCAAAYGATTTCAACTGGTTAATAAACGCTTGCATGTTGTCAAAAAAACCATTTTTCCATAATAACACCAACGATTTCAGCCTTCAGTCGTGTCATGTGGCTTTACAATWATATTCTTATCGTATTCTGCAGATTGTCAGATGTAGCCATGGTATATAAGCTGTGATCTACCGGGAAATTTCTATAGATGGACTTTCGATCAACTTTTGAACACGAAAGACAGCCATAACCACTTTATATCCGTCTCTTTTGTTCGATAATATCCACATAATATGATTTCTCTGTCTATGGCAGTCAACATTGTATTATGTCTATGATTGCAAACAAGTGAATCATTTACACTGCCAACGCTACCGCATCGGCCGCGACTCATTTCGTTGGGTAAGTTACTAAAAGGTACACTACACAACTATATATAATATTATATATGCGAATAATATTGTAATATTATACTAATTAGTAATTATATTATACTTTTTCCTTTATAATCAATAAACATGCGATACTGCTCGTGCGCACACATATACTTCATATAAACTGTAGAAACAAACCTGTATTATTATTATCATCATTACTATTTTTTTAAATTTATAATTATACACAGAAATGCTGCGCCGCCGATGATGATTAGAAGACGCGCGYTGTTGGAGAAAAAAATACGTATAACGGTGCGCGCAACAGGCAAAGATGAGGTCAACGTAAATGAATTTTGGCCATTGGTAATTATATTATTATATTGCACTAGGTATAAGTAATAAAATATTAGTTTTACCGCGAGTTCGGTGTGTGTGTGTGTATATTATGTGTAGTGCACATAATATCATTAAAGAGTAGGTACGTGCGTAGTGCACTGTCTCGTCGGACTGTATACAAACGCGTATAATGATATGAATTATTCATTTAAGCCGTAAAAAAAACAACCCCGGCCCATATAACCACTGGCGACAGCCGACAGGCGATACATTTATTCGATTCCTCGTACCACGTGGATCTTGCTATAATTATGCCTTTAATATAGTATCAAGTGATTTCTATATTTTGTACGAGTAAATAAGGTACTTATAGTATTATATATTATTACTCGTTAACTGCTTCTAAATTTGCACCTTATGGTTTATTATAGGTTATATAGTTTTTATGTACTACTATAATAAATTGTAAATTGTAAGAGCTACAAATGTGGTGGGAATATATTAGGAATTCATAAATAAATTATTAAAAAAAAAAAAAAATGAGTATCTATTGAGTATGGAAATCAAAACTGCGCTATCGCTCATCTCTGTAATGATAATAGTAATATTCGATAGTGCCTATATACTAACTATCACCCTATTAATATGCAATGTGTATTCAAGGGACAAATAATTAATAGAACAATATATGCATATATATATATATATAGATATGTATCGGGTATCGAGAAAGCGATTCTACATAACTAGTCACCGTATGCCGTATAATATTATACATTGTATAGGTACACACTGCGAAAGTCGTCGATTTTATATAATAAACCGTTAGGGAGCCAATGTGAAAATTCCTGAGTAGGAAATATACTACGCGCCAAAAACGAGTGCCCCGGCGGTATTCAGAGTCGGCGTTGTCTCGTCTGATGGTGAAAAAAATGAAAATCAGACTTACGGTATATAGTCGACCACCGCCACTTAAGGAATGAAAGGACAAAAAAATAAAGTAAATGCGTGTCTAAGTGACCCGCAATACTCGGCAGGTACAGTCGCACGCACACATCAGTCGTGCCGAAACGTCTTTACACACACACACATGTCATATACATATATATATTTCGTAGGTACCTCTCTATAAGTGACCGCGAGTGAGTGCATGGTCATGGGTGGATACGAGTGGACAGGAGAGGGAACGGTAAAAAAAGTGCACGGCACCAGACCCTTTTAGAGAAGAACTCG